GTCAACGTCCACCACCACCCTTCACCACCACCCTCCACCACCACCACAATCGTCCATACACCACCACCGTACACTACCACCATTAATTTATATAGCAGTCTACAGACATTAAAAAACAAACAGTCTTCTTCTTGCAGACCGCAGATCTTCGGTCCACCACTTCTCCTGCAGATGTCTACAGTAGTGGTCCAAAGACTGCAGACCTTTTCCTGCAGAAAAAACAAACACCCCCTAAATGTTCTCTATGTCGGCCCATGAAAAATGTGATAATGCTCATATTTCACATGTGGACCTTATGATCATGGAAGCACAATTCTTGCATGTTTGATATGAGGCATATATGTGGAGGGTAAATACTTTCATGATCCTCAGGTTCATTCTAATTATATGGACCTTCCTATTGTGGACTCCTTAAGATTAGGATTAGTATTAGTATTAGCATTAGCATTAGCATTAGCATTAGCATTAGCATTAGCATTAGTATTAGCATTAGTATTAATATTAGTATTAGCATTAGCATTAGCATTAGTACTAGTACTAGTATCAGGATCAGGATCAGGATTAGGATTAAGATTAGGATTAGGACTACGACTAAGACTATGATTATGATTAACAATAGGCACATTAGCTTGGGTGAAACAAGTCTTTTTCCACATTGGCTTCTAAGCCCAACAATTTTTGTAAGAAAATCTAGAAATTAGGCGTGGATCTTAAGTGCACGGAATCACCACTCTTTGTGGAGTAACTAATATTCTCTCCATTCTATTTTCTCTTTTTTAATTTCCTTTTTTGGGTTCTAAAATTATCTTAAATGTCTTTAAAGGAAGTGTAGTGCTAAATCCACCAACCAGGTGTGCATTAAATACAACACCAACCCAACAACCACAATGAAGCCTTATTCCACTAGGTGAGGTCGGTTACATGAATCAAACGTCATCATTGTGTCCTATCATGTATTATGTTTGCGGTGAGCTCATTGGTGCAAAGGTCGCCTTGATCACTTCTTCTCAAGTTTTCTTAGGTCTACATCTTCCTCTAATCAAATCTCCATTCACCGTTTGATCAACTCTTCTCACAAAATGCTCTATTGGTCCTCTCTCAGTCTCTCCACATGTCCAAGCCACTTAAAACGAGTTTCCAACATCTTTTTAACAAGTATCACTCCAAATTTAGCTCTCATGTCTTCATTCTTTATTCTATCCATACACATATGACTAATAATCTAACAAAACATTTTCATTCCCACCCCCTAACCTTATTTGGGCTAAGCTTCTAAATATCTGTACTTTAATGTAAGCCCGTGAAATTTTTGTTTGGGCTAAGCTTCTTGTTTTTTCATTTGGATTATTCCAAAAATATTTTGAATTTTATTTGGAGGCAAATATAAAATTGAAAAGAACATACCCTAAGTTTATGTGAACACATAGGTTTCACGGACGATTACATCTTATGTATGTATAAATTTACAGATGGTTGTTATTCGTGGAAATTACCCTAAGTTTATGTGAACATACCCTAAGTTTATGTGAACACAGATGTTCATCTGTAAATTTATGGATGAACAAAAAAATATTCTTGGTCGAAGGGACATGAGATTAAATTTATACATACATAAGAGTAATCGTCCATAAATAATCTCATGCCCATTCGACCAAGAATATTTTTTTTGTTCATCCATACATAACCTTCTCACTTTCAAGAAAATTACCTCAAAGTAATCTCACTTTTGGATGGTCAACAAAAAGTCATCACATTTTCTAATATTGTGTTCAATAATCGTACCACTTTTAATAGTTGTGAGCATTGGGTTGTCGTTACCCTAATAATTGAAAAATAACAAATTAGTGTTGGCCTTTTCTTTGCAAACCTAGAAAAGTGAGATTATTTGAAATACATGATTTTTCTCACATTTTTTAGAAATTCATCTGTGATATTTATATACTAAGGTCCATAGAATAAGTGTGAAATTTAAGACTATCGAAAAAATTACCTTCATTGAAATCCATAAAACACAAAAGAAAGTGATTTCAACTACGTGTTTCACTCAAAATCAATTTACTAGCACACAAAACATTTTTTTTAAAATATGTCTCACTAGACTCACAACACAAAGTGTGGGTTACCTTCAATTATGATTTTTTTTTAATTTTCTAACTAATCCAATGAGGACAAATGACAGAAAATTACAAATCATATCCTCCCCTTCCTCCCCACCCCCCACCCCCACCCATCCTCATCGCGTGTCCTGCTTGCGCGTCTCACGTCCTCCCTCGCTCCCATTCTCCCACCCGCCTATTACTCTCTCTTTCTTTGAACAACTCGATCCATACTGATGCGATGCACGGAGAGAAAGTTTTTAATTTTTATTATTATAATGCAATTAAAATTAGAAATTGAAAATTAAGTCATATCCAGTATAATAATGCAATTAAATTTTTTTTATAACAATGTCTTTTTTTCTCTAATACAATTCAAACAAAAAAGTTTTTACAAATTAATTTCCTCACAAATTTCCTTTCTGACCAAACAAGATTACAAATTTTGGTTCCTTTAACTTTCTTTTCTTTTTCTTTGCATTTTCTTTTCATAATTCTCTAACCAAATAAATACCCCGAGGCCCGAGCAAGTGAAGAAAATTTTAAAACAGCTCAAATAATAAAGTAATAAGAAGATAATAATTGGATAAAATTTAATTTACTACGTAGACCATAGTTCGGATAAGCACTATTCAACGTTTCCTAAACTAGAGTTGTACTCTAATTATATTACCCAATTAATTACGCTAAAAAAAGTTTCTAAATTAATTTAGATTCCTAAAAAAGGCTTCACTGAACAGTATTGGGCCATACTCGTGGCAGTGAAGCCCAAATCTGATAAATTTTTTTCTCTCAGTTTTGGTAGGAATGCAAATCCCATGGTTTTAAAAAGCTTTCTTTCCATTCGGTTCTGGACTCCTCCTTTCTTTTTATTCCTAAACACAAATTCACCGTTCTTTCTTTCTTTCATCCAACCTCCTTCAGGTATTTCCGTTTCAACGCCAAAGTTTTAATCTTTTTTTTTTAATTTTTATATTATAATTACCTTTATTTTTTGTTCTTAGGATCTGGGTTTTGCTGTTAGAAAACTGGTTTTGGTTTTTTTTTGCAATGGAAATTTTTGTTGGTTATGTTAAGTTTTCGACTTTAATTGTGTGAAGAACACCATCCTGCAAGTCACTTAGTTCCATGGATTATCCTCGAACCTGATCGAATTAAATTTGCTTGCCCGAACTTCCCGGGCTCAAGATTGATCAATTTTCTTGATTATAGTCAATTTTAATATTTTTTGTGGGTAGTATTTAGCATTAGAAATCACATCTGCATTTTTGTTTTTCATTCTAAGTATTCGGATTGCAGTTTTAGATGTGAATCATTGGTAAAGGAGCTAACTTTTCCCGAATTACCGTGTTTTTTAAACATGATTTGTGCTCGTATTACATTGTCGTTTGTTTGTTGATTTTCGTGTATCGCACAAAAACCTAAACGTAGGCTGTCCGGGCTCGAATGCTAACTAGAATTTGAATTGTTTTTCAGAAAAGTTAAATCCTAAGTTCCGAAGAATTGGAGTGGTCTATAGTAACTGTCCTGTGAATCAAACAAACTTGTTGACATACTCATGCCTGATCCGGTGGAGAATCTGTGGCCATATCCAAATGCTTCTAGTTTCAGTGACTGGGATTCCGGCGAGTCCAATTCTCTTCCAAATGGGCATAGCAATGTGTACGGGAGTACTCCAGAAGTATTAGGGCATGTTTGGCTGCCATCATCATCATCATCCCGAAATTACCTTGTAGCGGATCGGAGGTCAGAAGAAAGAGAGTTTGACTACTCTAATGGTCTCATTCATGAGAACCGTAGCAATGCTTATGGCGTTACCCATCCGATAGGCAGGGCAGCTATGCAGCATTCTAGTCCCAATATTTCCCTTGAGAACTCAAATGTAGCTGGTGGGCCGTATTGCAATCTCAGTGGTCCGCATATCAGCAGATCATGCACGCCTTTGGGCATTGATAACGAAGGGACATCTTCATATGATTCTG